TGTGTGTGTGTGTGTGTGTGTGTGTGTGTGTGTGTGTGTGTGTGTGTGTGTGTGTGTGTGTGTGTGTGTGTGTGTGTGTGTGTCACAGAACACACGCCACGTGACTTCAAAAACACAACTATATAATGAGGTTATTCTTGGTATATGCTTGCCGCATGATGCTACCACAAAACATAGTGTTCAGGACTTGATGTCGACATACTATGCAAGTTACGCAGTGTGCACAGATACTTTTTGAGCAAATCCTGTCAGAAGCCCGCAGGTTGGAGACAGTCAACCCGGAGGACGATACTTATGCACGAATGAGATGGGTTTTCTGAGCAGAAATCCATTGCAACTGGATCTCTGTTCTGAGAGCGACTGTACCTGTCTAAAATTCTCTGCTTCCCTGCTCTCCACTTCTGCTGTGCCAACAAAAGTCAGTCTGAGTTGGGTAGATTCTAAGCCTGTCAGATGACTCGTGAAGCGTGGCAGCAGAGAACCTCCTCGTTGTGCGGGATAGAATACTGTTGGAGGCACTGCAGCTCAAATTGAATAGTGTGTAATAGTGTGTAATAGTGTGTAATAGTGTGTAATAGTGTGTAATAGTGTGTAATAGTGTGTAATAGTGTGCATGGTGCTAATAGAATACTGTTGGAGGCAGAAATGCTGTTTTCGTTCTTTCTTCCTTTTTTTTCGATGAAGGGGGGTTAGGTAGCCCACAACCTAATTATATCTGTGTGATTCCATCGGGACCGATATCATGACTCGCGTGCCAACAGTCAAATGCGTATACCATTCAACCACATGGGCAGAGCTGTTTCTTATTCTTTGGAAAAAAGAAAACGACACTTAAGACATAGCAGCACGCGAGGGAACAGTGGCAGTTGGTCCAAACGACCACCAAACAGAAGAAGAGGACAAACAACGACAATGACGATGACGACGACGATGAAGAAGAAGAAGAAGAGGAGAGGAGGAGAGAGCCGGTCTGGCTTAACCATACATAGCAAGTCGTAAGAGTCAGGTGTGCCCTCGTCCTAAGGGACAGGCCCTACCGGTGCTACCGGTGCTAACTGGTGCGATGTTCATGCTAAGAGAGCGTGGACGGGCAGGCCCTACTGGTGCTAACAGGTGCTAGCTAGTGCTAAGTTCATGCTTTTTCACCACATGCTATGTGCATGATGAAAGAGCATGAACTTAGCACCAGTTAGCACCAGTTAGGCCCTACTGGTGCTAACTGGTGCTAAGTTCATGCTATGTTCTAAGGGGCAGGC